AAAGCAAGCATGACAGCTCTTAACTCAACCAAATACTTTAGTTGCTAGACTCTATTGTGCTCCGTATTATAGTAATGTTCCCCTGCTGGAAGCTACAATAGGTTCTCACCTAAGCTTCATTTGGCATAATATCCATGCAAGTCTCAAATTGCTATGTAAGGAATGTATTCAACGAATTGGCTTGGACAACACTAGTATTCGATTATCCATAGGCTACCAGATATAAATACCCCTTATATGACCTTTGCAAATAATTCAGGCATGGATGAGCTGTTTGTTTTAAATTTAATGCTTATTGGTAGATGTGCTTAGGATGATGAGATGCTCTCTATAGTGTTCTCATAAGTTGAATATGCTTTAATCAAGCAAATTCCTTTGGGCATGGTGGAAAGAGATGATGTTTGGTTTTGGTGGTGGGATGCAAAAGGTAATTATACTGTTAGTAGTGACTACTAGGTTCTTTATAAGGAAAAATAATTCCAAATATCATTTGAAAACACAATCTAAAAATTTATTTTGGAATTGTGATGTACCTAGAAAAATTCAAAATTTTATATGGATAGTTGTTTCGGGTTACCTTCTTGTGTTGATATTCTAAAGACTCATCACATTGATATTGATATTTGATGTCCAATATGTGGTAATGAGGATGAAAGTGTGTTTGTTGGAATATGGAGTGTGGACGAATCCCACTGGGCAAGTAAAGAAAAAGGAAAAGGATTATAATGTTAAAGCCACCAAACCAAAATTGCTTAGGCCATTTTGGTAGAAGTGAGCTATATTGAAGCCCAAGTGTAATGGTAGCCCAACTTTTAATCCAACTCTATTAAGCTCGAATTTCAACATGGTATCAAGGTGATGAGGCCCAATGACCGCAGATCAGGAACCCATTCAAGCATGATGGACTGACCTTAACAAGCCAAATCCATCAACTGAGATGATGGAGCCAGATTCAGATGGATCCATGTCAAGGAGAGTTAGACTTTGAGGACTAAGCTAAGAGGAGCCAGATCTAAGTGAGATAGGCCACCCCATGAACGCCAAGTGACAATTGGGCCTTAATAAGATCTAGCCCAGTTGCACTTGTTGGGAGTGTTGGAATATGGAGTGTGGAATAATCCCATATCGGGCAAGTAAAGAAAAAGGAAGAGGCTTATAATGTTAAAAGTCACTAAACCAAAATGGCTTAGCCCTAGTGCGATGCTAGCCCAACTTTTGATCCAATTCTTATGGGCCCGAGATTTCAACAAAATTACATATATTATGAGTTTGCCAGCTGGCGCAACAAACTTGGTGCGAATCTTCTATAGGTTGATGGACCAATATAGTTGATATGCATTCTTGGATCAATTCAATAATGTCTAAAGATCCTTGGAACAAACTTAACTTTATTTTTATTATAGCTTGGGAAGCCAAAATCAATGTTGGCATAATAAACACAATTGCGATTATCTTGTAATGTGCTTTGAGTTGTTTACAAGATTGGCAATATGCTTGTTAGTATGTTAATACTTTGGGAGGTTTATGTAGGTACCGATATCCAGCTAGGTGGATTGTTCCTGTTGCAGGAAATATCAAACTAAATCTACATGTGGTTTGACATAGTGAGAGCGGACGAGCTGGACTTGAGTGGTTATTACATGATGAGCATGAAGGTTGGTTAGGAGTCATTGTTGTGTTATGGAGGAAGTGTTATCTGCAACAACGACATAATCGATGGGGATAAGGGAATCTCTCACCTAACTTAGCGGTTGTGGAAGAATGACTGATATGGAGGTGGAGGGAGATTCTTTATTCGTTCTTCAAGCTCTTAAGTATTCTTTTTTCTGATTTTTGCTATTTTGGTATTTACTTAATGTTTGTAGAACTCTTCTAAATGAGTTCAGTTCATTATCTTTGCTATTTGCTAGGACATCAGCAAATCAGTATGGCCATGTGTTAGCAAGGGTTGCTAGTTTTATGTTTGGTTCGTTGGAGTGAGGCTTATCCCTCCAACTTTTATTCATGATGTCTTATTCTTTGATGCTATTAATATATAAGCAATATCCTTATTCAAAAAAAATATATTGATTTTAAAATCTCAACCGCTAATTAAGCTTATGGCTATTTAGATTTTTAGTTAACTCGAGTTTTTTGATAAAATTATAAAGTCAAAATATATAAATCTATAGTTTATATGATTTTATATAAAGTGAATTAAATCTTACTTAAAATCAACACATTTTTTGTTTGAAGTGAGTTATATATATATTTTTGTTTATACAATAGGTGTCATTAACTCATTGGCTAAGTCTAATCCTACTCACGTCGCGTAATGTTCATTAAGGGAAAGCACTCCCAGTAGTGATTTTCTCCACTCACAATGATCAAACACCTCTCACTTAAGAGATCTAAGTCTTTTCCACTCAGATCAACTCTCGTTCATTATTATACAGCTTGAGCCAAAAACAGTAATACAAAATACTAGTTTAAATTGAATCCAAAATCAAATAAAAACCGATAAAAGTATACTTCAATACTTGAAGAAGGATTCTAACTAGATCTAACAAAAAATACTCACATTTTTTAAGTAGCTAGTTTTTCCTATAACGTGCAATGCACATTGTTATTACTATTATTTACTCATTGTTTATATTTACTTTTTTTTTTTGTAATATTAAGTAATATAGTATTATCAAATTGGAATGTCAATTTATTCCACGTAAAATAACAAAAAGCAAAGAGTAAATAGTACAAAGTAAATTATATTACTAATATTATTAATTATTTATTTTCATATAGGAATTTAAAATTTCAATTATTTATTTATTGAAATATAATTGATTAATTATAATACTAGAGAATTAATAACATATTAAGTGATAATTCATAGAGCTTTTAATGATATGAATAAATTACTTAATTCATGGATTTTAATAGTATAAGAGGTTATTTTTTATATTAATTCTAAAATAAATTATCTGAAAACATATTGAATTATGATGGTTTGTTTACTGAATTAAATTATGTTAAATGTGATTGATTAAAATTATAATGTTAGATAATTAATGTTGATACAAAAAATTTTACTCATAGAATCCATCAACAATGATGGTTACATGTATATATATATATATATTATTTTCTTTCAAATTTTTTACTAATTGTGTGTAATGCGAACCTACGACTAGTTCATTTATATTAATATACATTAATTTGGATCAAATTCATCCACAAAATATTTTTATTATATATTTTCATACTTGAAACTATTGAAAATATAAATTTCAAATGTTGACTTTCAAATAAAAAACAATAGCATAAAGGATTGCACATGTATAAGGTCTAGATAGAGTTAATGTAATAGCTTTTTTCTACTTTTTTTTTTTTTTTTTTTTTTGCATAAGGAATTGCACATGTATAAGGTCTCAGATAGAGTTAATGTAATAGCTTTTTTCTACTTTTTTTTTTTTTTTTATTCAAGAGATTGTTCTATTTTTTTTTTTTTTTTTTTTTATTAAGAGATTGTTCTTATGGTTCAAATCTATGACTTCCCGGTTATAATTGAAGTAACTGCCGTTACACCAAATCCTGATCTTCAAAATCTCACATATTAATTGAGCTTACTTTTGAAAGGGAGGAAAGGACCTCAAGTGTGCACAGATAAACGTGCTTCACCGCACAAAAGAGAAACAACCATTTGGCAATTTGCTTACTTTTGATAAGAAGGGATGAAAGGGCTTGCGTCAGCTAAGACTAGAAGTGCGTTACTAAATAAAAAAGTAAACGAAAGAACAATACTCCATTTGGCAATTTTTTAAAAGTGTGCGTAATTTCGTGCCATTAGAGCAAATGAGAATTCATTCGGCAATTCAAGAGTGTGAGTTTTTTCAGTATCAAGGCATTAATTAGCCGCATCAAATAAGATGTTGAACAACATTATTGAGTAGTATTTTGTGTACGGTAAACTAGATTTGATGTGCTTTAATAATACTCTAACTATATTTTCATATATGTGTTTTTTTAAAAATTAGTGTAATGTCACTAATATTTACTTAAAATTACTATAGAGTAATGACGTCCAAAAAATAAGCATTTTTATAAAAAGAGCATTTTCCCTTAGATGGAAGGACTCCATAATGAGTTTATGATAAAAAATAGAAACAATTAGATCTCAATATTTATATTAAATTAATCATTTTTTATATTTTCATATTTGAAACCATTAATAATATATACTTTAATGAATTTTAATTTTGGAATCTTCATAATTTTAATTACACCAACTTTCAAATTTGTCAAAAGTTGAAGTAGCTCCATGTACAAAGTTTTGAATAAGCTCATGATGACTTGCTTAAGGTGACTGCCATCCTTATTTTAACAAACTCACATTGATAATGTCATATCAATTATTATTATTATTATTATTATTTGACATAGTAAAGAATTTTATTTTCTTTGAGAATAATTAATTTGGCATGAATTGAAGTAGCTACACAAAGGAAAAGATTCAAATGCTAAAACCTTTATTTCACCCATGAATGTTAAACCACTTTTTCTATTCTTGTGCAAGTTTCAATGAAACCAACATGAATTTTACATCTAAGTTCCATAGAAAATTCATTCACCTACCCAAAAAAAAAAAAAAAAAAAAAAAAAAAAAAAAATCTAATCATTTATAAAAAAATTAAATTTAATTTCCACATTTAAAAAAAAAAAAAAAAAAAAAAAAAATCTAATCATTTATAAAAAATTAATTAATTTCCACATTAAAAGAAATCACACTCCCATAATTAGAATTACATTATTATTCTTGTGCTCTTTAATCTTTTTTAAAAATTTTATTTTCCTAAATTTTTGACCATATATATACACACACAGTACTCACTGGCCCACAGATTCTAGCCAGCTACAAGTTTAACACATGCAAAAATATACTATACATATATAATAATAAAATAATTTAAAAATTTTAAAGGTAACCCAAAAAATAAAAAAGAGAAGAAAACTAAAAGCCCTACACTCCAAAGTCACACACACCCACACTACATTTTGCTCCCTCCTATTTTCCCTTCCTCTTCTTCTATTTTTTTTTTTTAATTTTTTTTTCTCTCTTTTTCTTCTCCTTCTCTCCCCCATTTCTTACAGATCAAATTTAAAAGCACAAAATCACTATTATTCACTATCCAATCAATCCATCTTCTTCTATAGTTTACCCTCTCAATCAATCTCTAAGCTCCCACTTGCATAATTATGTTTTAAATATATATATACGCAGAGGCATATATATATTTATATTGCTTAAATATTGTAACTTGTACAAGAGGGAGTATTATTGTTGTTATTTTGGTTAGTGAAGATGAGCGGGGCTGGAGTTAGGGTTCCAATTCCTAGCAACGTGAGGAAGACGATCCAGAACATAAAGGAGATCACAGGAAATCATAGTGAAGATGAGATTTATGCAATGCTTAAGGACTGCTCTATGGATCCCAATGAAACCGCTCAAAAACTTCTTTCTCAGGGTAATTTTTTTTTTCTTTTTTAGAAAATCTCTATTGGTTTTTATATTTTATTGTTATTAGGTTATAGTTTTTTATTTTGGGTTTTTCTCTAAGCTCGTTTTTGTAGGATGCATGTCTTCCGTTTTGATGATTTCTATATGATCCATGTCCTTGAGCTGCGGATTTGATTTAATTTGGGTGTTGCATTTGGCAGATTCCAAGTATGGATTGAATTGGGTTTTGATTTTGCTAATTTGGGTTATCACTTTTTTTTTTTTGGGTTCCTGGTGTTTTGTGTCTATATTAGATTTTGCAATTGTGCTTATGTTTGTGATGCTTTTCTATGTCCGAAATGAAAAGCTTTCTTCTACTTTGCCTTTTGCTTTTATTTTCTCATGCGGTCATGCCAATATTGACTTATGGAAATTGTATTTGATTGATGTCCAAGAGTCAATGAACAGAGTAGGAGAACTTAGAAGCTAAGAGCTCAATTCAAGACATTGGCGTTGTTCTCCTTTTTATTTCATGAAATGGTGCCTACTATACATAAGCATAATATTGCTTTAAGAATTTACTTTCTTGAAGTTCACATGAGTTGCTGAGAGCTATATTATGTTTCCCATTTCTGAATATAACAGAACTGTTTTTTTTCCTTTCCACAGATCCATTTCGTGAAGTTAAAAGGAAGCGAGACCGGAGAAAAGAGGTGAGACATTTCTCTTCCTTCCAAATTTCTGCTGAAAGGTTCAATTGTGTTTCAAATATTCCTTGTTTCTTTGTCTGAGATGTCTGCAAATATGATAATATCATGGCCCATGCTATTTTTTATGGAGTTTGTCCAATGACTAGACTAAGATGATGGCTGTTCCTCCCATGGGCTGCTGTGATCCATGCATGCTTGAACCTTGAATTGACAATAACATTGTTCAGCTATAATTGTTATTTAAGTTGCCATCAGTGTGCATGGATTGTAGATTGTGAATGCTTGCATTGCTTAAATTAGTTGTATAAGAGTTATGCAATGTCAACAACCTTGAAGGTTGAATTGAAGAAGGTTATTCAAATTCTACAGGACATAGGTTCACTTTAGATATTTTTAGCAATTAACAGGCAAAGAAGGATAAGTAGATATGTTAAGGTGCTATATGTTAATCATAAATGGATAAGGGCAAAGGTATATGTGGCCTTGGTTGGTCTTTAGAATGAGGTGGAGGCAAGATATATTAGTCATTTTATTTGCTCAAGATCTTATTTTTGTCTTTCTATGATCAAGATACAACTGCATGTAATAATACCGAAAGTACTTGTATTTTTGTGCTTCAGATCATATTCAGGTCTGATATCATATTTTATTACTTTTTTTTTTTTTTTTTTTTTTTTTTTGTCTGATATCCATATTTTTACTTTTTTTTTTTTTTTTTTTTTTTTTTCAGACTATGAATATATAAAGAGTCATGAGAGATTTCTCGTTGGAAACCTGGCACGCAAGGGCGAGGGTTAGTTACGGGGTGGTAGGAAGTGGACTTTTCATCGTTACACATCGCATGGTAAATTTTACTACTTTAAGAGGAGAGCTTTTGGAGGACTATATTGCATGGTTACTCATGCATATTGTTTGTTCTTCTGTTTTTTTTTTTTTTTTTTTTTTTTTTTTCAGAATATGAATAATAAAGAGTCTGGAGATTCTCGTTGGAAACCTGGCACGCAAGGGCGAGGGAGTAGGGGTGGTCGGGTGAACTTTTCAACTCGTTACACATCGCATGGTAATTTACTACTTTTAAGAGAGAGCTTTTTGAGGACTAATATTGATGGATTACTCATGCATGATTGTTTGTTCTTCTGTGTTTACCTGTGTTCTTTTGTTGGCTATAACTTACGTATTTGACCCATTTAATCACTGGAATGGTGAATCCCACTTGCTGATATTCTTGGTTGAATACCTATCCCTTCAACTAATTTGGGTTCATGGTGTGAAAAATACCAGATCATTTATTGATGATGTTTTCTGGTATAAATTTTTTTGTATGATAAAGGTGTGGTATAATTGGTAATCTGTTTGTTGACTGAGACATTGGTTCAGATGCTGGTGGTGGCAGGAATTCTGGGTCTGCAAGGGACAACGGAATCAACCAGGCTGTAGAGAAGGGAGATGGTACTTATTTGCCCGTTTCTCAGGAGAAAAGTAAGGAAACAAGTCCATCAGCAAGGTGACTACAATTTGCAAGTCCAAGTCACTTCTATAATTTGATTGATAGGGTATTATGGTATGTATTGTATTTACTTTTGCTAATCATGCCTCGCAGCTCTGTCGGTGTTGGGGCAAATGGTGCCACTGGTGAACCTTCTGGAAGCAACAGTGCAGTGCATGCTCCCAATTTAACTTTAGAAAGTGGTGTAGGTCAAAATGAAGTGACTCCATCATCTATTGTTGTTAACAAGTTTGGAAGTACAATCCCCTCTGTTGATGGCAGCAAAACCCCAGCAATTGCATCTGGAACTGGGGACACACATGAGGAGCCCATCCCAAACTCTGGTAACTCCTCAGTATCTGTAACTCCAGCATCTTCATCAACAGTTTGTTTCTCATCATCGGATCCTGTACTTGTTCCATCTAATGATTCACGGCTTCCTAGTACAGTGGGTACCATTAAACGTGAAGTGGGGGGCAATCGAACTGCTGGTGAATCAAATTTAGTTATTCCTGCTGAAAAATCAGGTTGGACTTGTCAAGTTTTATTTCAGTTTGACTTATTTTGTTTCTCATTTGTTGTAACTCATAGCTTGTTATTGGCTGACTACAGGATATGAGATTGATACTCCTTTTGTGCAAGGGAAGATTCCAAGTAAATCCCATGTTGGGAAAGGTCAGCTTAGTGAGGCTTCCCAGTCCTCTGCCTCCATCCACAGTGGCCCTTCCAGTAGTCGGCCGTCCTCTAACTACAGTAGTAGATCACAGCAAGTAATTGGCCCTCAAAAAGGTCTAATTTTTCAACAGATTCTGTGTTAAAACTTTTCAATTTCATTAATTGATCTGTTCGGCATTGCTGTTTTAATAACTATTGGGAAAAACACTGTCTTCAATAAGTTGAGTAAAAATAGTCAAAAATTGTTTTAAAGGTAAATATACCATGATTTGGTCATAGAAGACTTCAAAACAGCGAAAAAGCAGTTGCAAACTCTTTTTACAGCAATGTTTAAAAGAGCGCATTTCAAAAGAGTAGTTTCAACCTCTATAATTGCGAAGTTGATGTACTTCAGGAATATATTGTATACCACATCGACTGTTCAACTTGTTCAGATATATATTAAGCATGAGTTATTGTTTGAGCTGGAAAAGTGAGTCCGAAACTGCACTTCGTTTCCGCTTATTTTGAAGTCTTTTAGTTAATAGCTTGCTTTTTAATGGGAGTTTGTTTAATTTTGCACTGAATTATTAACAACTGAACACTAGATAGGCTCACTTCAACTTGAGTCACATCTTTTCTGTTCCTGATTCATTGTTTATTTCCATTTGTCTATTCTCTTGTTTCTAGTTTAGGTGTGCAAACATTCCACACACTTATACATGCATATGAAATGTAAAAAGATGTGATACATCATAAATTGGTAGTTCTCGAAGGACATGCATGATTTAAGTTTGGATAAAAGATTTGTAAGCACAAGTTTTCTCAACAGTCTATTCTTAGTCACTTTTTATTGGAGCTAGGACTCTCATTGACCTGATAGAATTAGGCTACAGACTTAGGCTTCGCTTTCTTTGTGGAAAATGTTTTGGAAAAAACATATTATTTTCTGTTACTACGCTAAGAGTTAGCTGGAATTTATTTAATATTTGGACTTTGAAGCACATTGGAAATCTTAATATTCTTTCAATAAATAAGTCTGGAAAATGTGTGGACCTATACGGACTTTGTATTTTTCTATTTATTATTGGATATAAGAGAAACTTGCATGAATAAGGGTAATTTACAGTTGTCAACAGCTGGCCGTGACCATCACTGGCTGGTAATTGTCAGTGGTCAGTGGACTGTGTCTAGATATTCTCCATGTCTCTTTCTTTTGATGAGTTGTGAGAGTCCAGAGTTCAGTGACTTCTTGTTGTGAAAGCAGGAAGTCATTTCCCAACCCTTTTGAGTATTTTACTCTGGCTCATTATAATTTAATGCATCCAATTCCATATATCTGTGCATCTGATACCATAACGCTGAAATTGTCTTTTAGCAAAAAGCGGAAAATGTTTTCTGTGAGAAAAAGAAAGAAAGAAACTAAAACAGAGCCTTTCATACATCATGCATAAATTTGAGACACCTTAATTTAGAGGGAAAAGGGGAATACTGACTGTTCCATATATTCAATGCATTTCAACATTTTATTCAATACTTTGTTCAAGATTGTATGATGGTTTCTCGGGATCTAAATTGTTAACTAGCCCGGTCTTTTACAGTTGGTTCTACGAAGGAGTGGAAACCAAAGCCAGCAAACACTAATGTGCTTCAGGGGTCTGGAACAACTAGTTCATCCGAAGTGCCTAATGTTCCTGTTGAAGCTGGCATCCAATCACAGCCTTCGTCAAATGTCCTTGATTCAGAAGAATCTACCACTAAACTGCAGAAGAAGCTGGAGGAGTTGCATCTTCCCCAGCGTCAACATGTTATTATTCCGAATCATATTCATGTCCCTGAATCTGAAAGAACAAAATTGAGTTTTGGAAGTTTTGATGCTAGTTTTGGAGTGTCAGCAAGCTATGTTAATGATCCAGAGAGTGACAAGAGTTCTACATCCTTGTCTGAAACTTCTCAGGTTATTGAAGAAACTGTGGAGGAACAACAGACTACAAGGTATGTCGAGTATTTTTGGATTTAAATATAATTTTGAGTATGCCAGTCTGCCCAAATCATGAATTTTTTTCTCCATTATCCCTTTTGTTTTATTTTATCAACAAAAACAATAAGTTTACTTTATTTCAGAGCATCATACTCTGGTTTTGTCATCAGCTATAAGAATGTTATGTTCTAGTTTATTTCACTGGAGGATAATATCAGATTTAGTTGTTATTTTAGCTATTTTGTATTCCAATGGAGCAATAGATATTATTAACAATGTGCAATTTTTTTTGCAAGTGTTGAGAATAAGTTCAGGCCTTACTTTATGGAATTTACAACTGACATATTGATTTATGATGAGTAGTATATATTTGTTTATATTGCATGCTGAATATGCTGGTTATGTTTTTGGATTCAGCAACCAAGAGTCACTGACAACTGCTGAGGAGGGACCTTATCCAGATAAGCCACAATCATCTTCACATGTACTGGAAAATTTATCTGGTGAAGGTGATGTCTCATCTAGTGCAGTACCAGAGTATAGTGAGTCCAAGCAGGAGACTGCATTGTCTGGGGGGCAGCAATATTCAGTGGTACAAACTTCTCCAAGCTATAGTTTTGGCTACGTGCCTCCAATGCTAAGTAGCCAGATTGCACCATTTGAAAGCTCTGAATCTCAAGCACGTGATGTTTCTCGCCTTCCTAGTTTTGTGGTAAGAATTTTCCATCAAAACTGCTTTCTTTATGTAATCTACCAATTCAGTTGTGTCTTTTTACATTGAATATTTTTGTGCTGATGTAATAGATTGAACATGTTAGTCAACATGTATCATAAAATATTTTAGTCCCAAAATTTTAATTTTTATCATACAATAACATGGTTGCATGGACTAAATCTATAGAATTTTTGCAATATTTGCATTGGTTCTGTGTTTGGCCTTGAAACTGATTGCTTATTTGATGGTTTCTTTTTGTAGGTTCAACAACCATTTGATCCTACAAGTTATTATGCGCAATTCTATCGTTCAGGTGCTGATAGTGATGGTCGTGTTTCTCCTTTCCCGTCGCCTGCAGCTGCTGCAAAATACAATGGGAATGTTGCAGTCTTGCCTCCACATACTTCTCAGTCTCCCCAAGAGGTTTCAATAGATAAGCTCTCTTTAATGATTCATTTTAGTGAAATGCACAAGATTTTTTTTTTTAATCCAAAATAGTTTTGAAGAAATTATCCTCTTTGTTGACCAATGTAAATCTCCTTGGCATGCTTCGAGATTTTCATGATCATGCTGCAAAAACTATCTATATTTTGGTCTGTATTGGTCTTTCTGTCATGTGTATCTGCATTTCAGTTAATGATGTTTACATTGTTAGATTTTAGTTAGCCAGTGGGATTTCTTTGAATCTCCTAGGGTAAATGCAAATAAGATGCAACTATTATAGCTATTTTTGGTTAAAAAAAAGGTTTTTTGCTATTTTACTGTTGGTCAGCTGATCTCAACAGGATTTTGCTTTAAAGCCCATATTCCGGATGCGTCCTGGGTTTTTAATAGGCTGGTGCTGTTTATGTCCATTTCAACTTATTATACAATCTTAAGAAATTCTTTTTGTATAAATTTTGGAGTTGGTTGCAATTTCTGTGTAACATCATGAGAGGGGTCTCGTACATGCTACACAATTTTTTTTAGTTATTCTAGGGTTTCATTGAGAGTTCTTATACGAGGTCATGCTAAGTTTAGTTATTTTAATGTATGGTGAGATATTCTTGAACATCATAACAATTGAATGATGTGGAGTTGTTTGTTTTGTTGGCTGTGTTGCAACTGTGAATATTTCATTTCCTTCATTTGGATGGTCTTTTATTGAGGACGAAATGGTTTGTGTTTGGCATTGCATCTGCAAGCATGTTGCTGGTTTTGCAATACTTCGCTTCCATACAGTCAAAAGTTTTTGAATAACTCCATTTGTATGGAGTTGTTCAAGGGAATTTAGCCAGTTACGCGACTGGTTGTTTACTGCTCTCCTGCACTGTCTTGTTTCTATCTCATGATTTAGCTTGCATTTTTTGCTGCCAAGTTCGTCACAAACTTCATTGCATTTTAATTTATTTGATAAAGGGAAAATTGGAAAATAACAATTGTCATTAGGCTAGTAGCAATACAGTCTTTTGCTTCCTTTAATTCTTCACACTTTAGTCATTATATTAAAATATCATGTGCTTCAGTCTCCAGTTCTTTTGTCCCTGGGTTTTAAGATGAGACAGCTTTTTGGTCTAAAAATTTGAACTAAAAATTTGAACTAATATGGAATATGGGAATTAAGTAGTTGTTCCATAAAAATGTGGGGCCTAATGTTTGTTGATGTTTAGCAGCAGGACTGAGGTGCAAGGAACTTAAAAAGTTAGGGACCATGTAATTTAAATTGAGAAAAGTGAGAATGCAACCTAAACTCCTTTTTTAGTTTCAAGTTTCCTCTCTTACATATTAGCATTGAAATGATGGTGGAATTATATTGATTAGATCACTGACTTGAATGATGGGAAGCACTTATAGGCACTAAATGCTTGTGAATCCATAAATTTTATCTTTATGAGCAGAATGGAGGAGTAAGCCCATTATGATAGCAAATTTAGGGTCCTATTGTGAGTGCTAAATCTAAAACTAGTTGTGATCTTTAGAATATTAGTCAAAGTCAACTATTGGTTGACTTATAAAGATTCATGTTGAGCAGATCAATTGCTCATGATCTGTGAAGATATACAGTAATTCTGTGTATTATGTTTCCACGTCTTTGTTACAGCAGAGCTAAATGCCAGGTACTCATGATTTCTAGTAATTTGTATGGGTAAGGGCCAAATGTATAAATTTATCCTTGTACTTTATACCAAAAACCTTGTGGCACCCTTAAATGAGAGACCTATTACACTGCTAAAATTATGAATTTTGGTAATATTGCACACCTCTCCATTCTAACAACAATAGTTTTCTGGTATTTTTGGCTTTTACATGCAAGATATTATTTGATATGTGGTTACCACAACTTCTAGAACAATAATTTTTACATTTTTTCAACTATTCAATAAGTGTTTAGTTGATCTAAATTTAAAAGTTGGAGTGCTCAATAGAAAAATTTGCAAATCGAAGTGTTCAAAAGGTGCAATTTTATAAGTTGAAGTGTTTAATAGATCAAAATAAAAGTTAAAGGTGCCACAAAATTTTTAATGTAAAGTAAAACAGTAAATTTATGCATTTGGCATATGGAAACGGATGTACTGCAAAAGAAAGAATGAGGTAATTTATGGACTTCATCGTGCCAAGACATTTTTCATTTTCAAAATTTTTGATTTTTTATCTTTTGGGTGTTTGGGAGTTGAGTGGGGTGTTATTCTGAGAAGGATTTCATTCATAATCTATTATTTTGGCTTCATGTATTAGCATGGTGCCTTGTTTGTCATATATGTTTCTGTATTCTAATTTCTTATATATGTCTGTATTTTCAGGGAGGGAATTCTTTAGTTCTGTCAACAGCAGGTGCAACTCCAGTGGTGACCCAAGCTGCTGGGGTCATCCAAAGTTCCATAGCTGTGACTCAGCAACCTCTTCCAGTTTTTCGCCCTCCAACTGGGTTGCACATTCCCCACTATCCCCCAAACTACATCCCTTATGGTCATTACTTCTCCCCATTCTATGTTCCACCTCCAGGCATCCACCAATTTTTAAGTAATGGTGCATTTCCCCAGCAACCTCAAGCTGGGAGCATATATCCAGCTCCTCCAGCTGCTGCTGCCATGGGTGTCAAATATTCACTTCCACAATACAAGCCTGGAACTAATACAGGAAATTCAACTCATATTGGAATCGCAAGTGGCTATGGACCATATGGCTCCTCTCAAGCTGGTTATAATCCTAGTTCTGCAGCAACTGGAGGAAACTCTACCACAAATGAAGATCTTGGTGCATCCCAATTCAAGGACAGTAATGTTTACATAACTGGGCAGCAGGTATGGTTCTAATTAGTCTTTGTATATTTCTTTATGGTTACTTGATCTTCTTGTAGTTGAAAATGACTGTTTTATAATGGTTACAGTCTTATTTAGAATTAGAATGTAATGGTAATGATTATCACTTTTATGTTTTTTTTTTTGGCAATTTGATTAGTTTTAGTTTTCTCCTAGAATATTGTTTGTATAGTTTATTTTATTTTTTTTTATTTATTTATTTCAGAACATATTGAAATGTCCTTGAATTATTTTAGTTTCATTCTAAATGTTTCATGTTTCACAACAAATTGCTGTATGCATTTTAGTGAATCACAAAACAGATGGGTAACTTCAAGGTTATCATTTAAGCAGTTGTAATGACGACAATGGGAAAATTGTGGTCATTAATTGTGATATGGTTGTCATCGATGATTGTGATAGTCTAGCAGCTGTGGCTGCTCATTCTTGTCTGAAGCAGTGTGATTTTGTTGATTAATCCTTGCAATGCTAGTAATGTTGATTATACTTGCTGTACTATTAAATCTATGATATAGCATTTCTTGATTTCTTCCCCTTCTTTTGGTGTTGCCTGTGTTTTCAATTAGGATTTTGTGTTTTGATGCCTATGACATAGGACAACTAAATATGCCTTTCTTAACCAACCAAATGCCTGTAAGATTGCTGTATTAAATAATGTCTTCTGGCCAGCATTATAGACATTTAGAATAAGAAAATAACACAAAAGAACTAATTCAACATTCTTGTCTTCCTGTTTCAGTCCATCACTCAAATCTGTTGATGATCTAATTTATGTATCAGTGCATGATCATCCTGATGCACGTCATGAATACACTAGGTCCTAGAATGATGTCTCTGCGTTCTCAAACAAGCATTCTGTAATTATTAGCTCACCAATTTTTTTTTTTATTTTTTTTTATTTTTTTTTATTTTTTTATTTTATTGTTCCACTGCTTTAAATGAAATCTGTTGTTGATGATGGTGGATTTGCAGAGCGAGGGTTCAGCTGTGTGGATTGCTGCCCCTGGCCGAGATATGTCTAGCTTGCCAGCAAGTTCCTTCTACAACCTTCCTCCTCAAGGTCAGCATGTGACATTCACCCCTACACAGGCTGGCCATGGCACATTTGCCAGTATCTATCAGCCTGCACAAGCAGTAACAGCAGCGGCTGTTCACCCGCTTCTTCAACAGTCTCAGGCCATGGCTGGTGCTGTTGATATGGTGGGACCTGCAGCCAGTGTCTACCAGCAGCCTCAGCACCAACAAATCAACTGGCCTAGTAACTACTGAAAGATGGATATTAATTTTTTTTTTTTTTTTGTACACCGGGAAAAGAAAAGGTCCAATCTTGGGATAAATTTTTGGGACCTCCAACAAGTTTGGATAGAGGGGAACAGAGAGATACAACATTGGCCGGGTCTGAGAGTGCAATCTAGAAAAAAGAAGTCTGGAGAAAGTTTTGCCAATGGTATCTTCTAATTGCTTGGGTTGAGGGCATAAAAGGGCAGTTGGCCTGTAACTGATATTGACACCATTTTAAGTTAGTTAAGGTAGGCATGTGCAGTTTTCTCTTTCCTGTTGCTGCCATATGGTGTTACAGTTTTTCCATTTTGTAGTCTCTAAGTTCTTTCTAAAGTCTCTGAACTTAGGTTTTCTATCGTTGAGTGGTGAGTCTTTTCTATTCTTTTTGACTTGGGGGTTTTCTAGGGTTCTGGAGGTAAGATATAGGTCGGTGGCGAATTTTTTACCAAATTCCTTTTCTTTTATTGTCTTTCCGCTACCTGTAAAGTGAATTTTGATAGCAAGAAAAGGATATGTACCTAACTGTTGTAATTGGTATAAGCAAAAGCGAACATTTCAATTGTTTTCGCTGACTGGTATTATCATAATTCGTAAATGCTTGTCACAGGATAGGTTTTCATGGGGAAGTTATACCGGGAATATTGTATTTTTTTTTAAAAAAAAAATGTAGAAAGTTGTTCATTTTTTGGATGTTCTGGTGTAAGTCATGCTTGTTCCAATCAAAGTTGGAATTTAACATTCTGTTTCGAAATGATGCTTCGGAGAAAATGGCGTGTGCCCATGTTTCTCATGAATTGTATTGAGAGCCTTGGAGGAGTCATTGACCTTCATTGAAGAGTCCTTGGACTGCTTCATGAACCTGTGCTGATAATGCGCTGCCTTTAGCACAAGTTTCTGTTATTTTAATGAATAGGGTTTTGACGCAATACTCATGGATATGTTGAATCAACTATTCTTCAAAAATTTATATGAACTCATAGGCAGAGGCGGAATGCATAAATTTGCTAAAAACCTTACGGATCTTCAGCTTTTATTTTGATCTATTGAATACTAAATTTATTTTGATCTATTGAATACTAAATTATAAAATTGTAACCCTTGTGTATTTCAGTTGTTAAATTATTTTTCAATTAATTAAATATTTATTAGATAATTGAAAATGCGAAAATTATTGTTTTAAAAATTATATTAACCACAGAATATTTTTTACATAAATGTCAAAAATACCAAAGACTATTATTGTTAGTATGGAGAGGTATATTTTGACATTTATAGTATGAAGAGATATTTTGTACATAAATGTCAAAAATATCAAAGACTATTATTGCTAGTGAGGAGAGATATGCTATGCGTAAAGTTAGGTTATTGAAGTTGGGTTATTGTAAAGTTTTGTGTGATACAAAGATACTGACATGATACGTACGTTGATATACTAATATGATTATCATCTCCTGATGTGATTTAGACATGATTATTCTTAAAGTTATTACTATTTTTTTTAACATATTGGGTTGAATTTTACTCTATATATATATATATATATATAAAGTTATTCACTTACATATGAGTAAATAGGCTGTACCTTCTTAGGCGCAGTGCAGTCCTTAGCATAGTGGCCCCTGTTGCTACAGTTGAAACATTTGACCCTCACAATGTTTTTCTTCTTAGGATGCTTATTGTTTCAGTTGTATTTCGCTTAGTCCTCTTCGCCCTTTGAACCTGCTTTTCCTTGCCTTTTGCATTACCTCGCTTACACTTTTGACTTATAGTCCCATGTGGACTAGATCCAACCACATGTGCCACTGCACTTGATTGCATAGCATTAAGCTGATCAACTTCAAGTTTTAAATATCGTGAAGCATCATTAAAGGTGTTGATCGTCTCATTAATATTAGGTGCATCCTCATATGCTCCTAACTTTCAGGCAAGGAACAAATAACAACTTGGATCTTTTATTCCTCAATCAGTACATGACCAGCATCATATAACTCACTTATCATATTGGACATTTCTCTTAAATGTCGCTTCATTGTGTGTTCAGGACGCTCCTTATATGTGTCGAACTTGAGAGTGGGTGACCGAAATTTTGTGATAGACACACCGCTAAACTTGTTCCTCAAAGCTTCCCACAACTTATACTTTTGAAGAATTAAAATCTGAATATTTAGAATATAAATTAAACACTCAAACTGTGATAAAATTCTTTGATTGGTATAAATTAGTTAAAGAAAATTCTTCTGATAAAAGTTTAAACCCAATAACTATTCGAGATAAAAGACCAGAATGGATAGTAAATGATCAAACTATAAAAAGTGATTTTCCTCCTAAAACAATTAGTAAATTAAAACATCAAGATCATGAAATTGTATGTGCTCCATTTAAAACCATAAGGGAAAATGATCCAACTAATAAATTAATTGAACAAAATAATTTTAGTAATGTAAGTTTAATTTGTATAAATACACAATTAAAAAAGATTGAACATTTATTAGAAGATAAACCAATTGTACATGAAACTGTCAAAGGTAAAGAAAAGGTAAAATCTCATATGTTTAAACCTTTTCAAATTTCTCAGTCAAGTAAAAATGAATTTGTAAATAAATTAAAAGATCAATTAAGTAAACTTGAGGTGCGTTCAGAAACTACTCAACAGGTAGCTCCTGACACTCCCCAAGCTTCTAGAAATATAAATACTATAGAAGAAAATTCTAGTTCTGATGTTAGTGAACCTGACTCAGAAAATATTAAACAATTTGAAATCAATCCTATCAATCATCATAGAGAACTAGTAAGTAGGGCACCAGACCTAGGTATAATTGATAAACCTAATACTATATCTCAATTTAAATATAATGCTTCCACAATCTATGAATGGAACATAGATAATTTAAGTGAATATAATATATTAAGTATTTTGCAACAAATGACTATGGCGGCAAAAACAAATGACTATGGCTGCAAATGCTTATAAAACCCAGTCAATCATTTCTGATAAAGCTATAGCAGAAATTTTAATTGCTGGGTTTACAGGTCAACTTAAAGGTTGGTGGGATTATCACACCAAAATGAGATAAAATTCTTTGACTGGTTTAAATCAATTAAAGAGAATCAATCTGATAAAAGTTTAATAACTCGTAACGATAAACCAATTGTAAAGGAAAATATACAAGAACAAATTCTTTTGACACCTTTTCAGTCCAGTCAAACAGAATTGGTAACTATATTAAAAGAACAATTAAGTAAAATTGAAGTTCCTAGGAATATAAATATGATAGAAGAAAACACCAAACGACTTTTCTCACTCGATTAATGTTAAGGGAAGACTCTAATCAAAGCTTTTGAAAAGAAAAGTTTTTAGCTGGGTTACCTTATTTCTTGGGAGAAAGAAATCATATTAAACAACAACCATTGGTCAACCACTATACCTAAACTATAGTAAGTTAAATCCTATGGACAATTAATTGCATAAGTTCAAAACGGAAGGATTTACAAATATGTCATGATCTAAAACTTTCATAAGCAAAACCCAATAAAGTTGAAAAATGCCAGAAAACTCAATTAAAAAAGAATTTAAGGATCTTTTTGTAAAACAATTTGGACCCCGCGTATTAGTATAACTTTCTCCACAGACAATGTTGATCAATGGCCAATGGTTCTCAAAACAAATAAACCTAAAAAAATTTATTATAGAAATTAGAAATACGTCTAAAAACATACAATCTATCAGACGATCTTGCCTACACCGTAGCTCAAAGATTAAGATTGTTATTAGTAAAAAACAGAAACCACAAACCTTTCCTTATATAACACAAAATAACACACCTTTCTAAATCTACAACTAAGAACTTCTTATAAAAATCTTAGACCCTTGTTATTACATTTGTTTGATAAAAACTTATAAAAATTTGACTTGTTATAATTGTGATAAAAAAGGGCATACATCTAAATTTTGTAAATTTAATAAAAGATTACATGAATTAAATTTAGAAGATAATGTTCTAAATAAAATTTATGAATTATATATTGATTCGGATTCCTCGGAATCTGAGATTAATGAAAGTGAAAATCAAATTGATGAATTAGGAACTAATACAAGTTCTTCCAGTTCATCAAAATATTCTTTAAACATGTTATCTAAAGATCAAAGTAATTTATTAACAGTAGTCAATGGTATTGAAGATCAAGAAACTAAAGCTAAACTTCTTAAAAAACTAATAAAAAGTTTTGAAGACGACAATGAAGTAAAAGATATTACTCCTAGAATTCAGTCTAATACTTATGATTTAACTACCATTTTAAATAAAAATAAACCTCAAAAGGTAAATGCGGATGAATCTACTAAAGAATTATATAACCTCAAAGGTACATGCGGTGCCGAATGAATCTATAAAGAATTTATATAAAGAAATCTGAATGGCCCACTAAAAACCATCGAAGTACAAAGAGATTAAAATACAGCCCCAACTTCAACCAAAATTCTACAAAGAATCAAGAAATACTAGAATCCCAACTTCATTTTTTTTCCCAAGTTCTTCCTCAGAAGGGAAAGAAGAAACCAGATAATAATTTAATGGAGAAATAAATGAATTAGATGAAGATGATAGATTGTATTTTTTCTCTCTAAAATTTCATTACAAAGAAATTACTTTTCACGAAAGTATTTTAGCTAAAAATAAAACATTCAAATAAACACGATTATATGTAGATAGAACATGCTCACGATACCACTCTGTCACTTTTCTAACCACAGGCTGTCACCGTGATCTTAAAACCTGGCTATAAATAACTCGTGATACTACTGTTCGCCGTTTAAAAGGCATATCTGGTTAAAAAACAGTATTGAAACAATTTAAGTAAGTGCCAATAAATCTAAACTTGAAATTATAAGGAAAGGACAGAACTGCAATAACTCATTAATCTCAAGATCATTAGAAATTAAACACAGGTATTTTTACTATCACCCTCAAATAAATTATATGCGTCATATTTAGGCCACTCCCATTTATAAATACTTACATAACACCATATTTCAGTTAAGAGGATTGTAGTTAAATTTAAAATAAAAAAATTGGTAAAGCATAAAAAATTGCGAATTTACAGAAAAACCTTAAAAAGAAGCAATTAAACTTATTAAAAGCTTCCATTGTCGATAAAAAAATTAGAAAATTAACTCTTTAACTAAAAATCTAAAGAAGAACAATGTATTCAAATCTAAAGAAGAAAATATTAAAGATCTAAAAAATAATTTAGTCTTAATAAAATTGAAGAACAATTAAAAAATGCATTTATACAAAATAAAATAAATAATCTAACAAAATTTATGGAAAATACATTATGTGCTAATCATCCAAATGCATTTTGGACTCGAAAACAGCATGTAGTGGATCTACCGTATGAAAAAGATTTTGATGAAAAAACTATTAAAACTAAAGCTAGACCAATTCAAATGAACCCTGAATTAATAGAGCATTGTAAAAAAGAAATTCAAGACTTAGAAAATAAAAAGCTAATTAGTAAATCTAGAAGCCCATGGTCTTGTGCTGCTTTCTATGTCAATAAAAATGCAGAAATAGAACGTGGAGTACCTAGATTGGTCATAAATTA